CGTACCGAATACATTATCGGACGGGTATACGGTCTATGCATGCATGAAGGTTGAAAAGCAAGCGCAGCTCGAGCCGGCGACGCTAGGAGAGCGAAGAGGACGAACGAACGAACGAACGGACGGGCGAGCGGGTGGGTAACTATATTGATTGTGTAGCCGGCTGACAGCGACAGTGACATATGTCACCGAAGCTTCTCGTTATCGCTGATTTAAACATGAGGCAACGAGGCCCTCTTGCCGAGTTGCCCGCTCTCTCTCTCTCTCTCTCTGCGCCGGCAGCTCCGTATTTCTGTTCGTGTCTCCGTCCCCTGTTATTATTATTGCCGAGCGTGCACTTTTCCTTTTTCTCTATCTCTCTCTCTCGCTTTTTTCCTACTCGCCACTTCCTCTTTCCCGCTCGATCCATCGACTGGCATCGCCTGTCGGAAGCCGGGTAACGTGACCTCTTTGATCATCGGCGTAGTGAAACGGGTTGTCAGAAATAATTATGAGCCCTCGTACCACATGTAGCCGTCGTAGGATGCGTGACACGCATCTACATTGTGCTCTTTTTCGACGTTTTTGGATCCAGTCAATTCCGAGTTTCGCGTGAAAGGTGAAGTTTCGGATTTGTTATATCCAATAAAATTTAAATCGATTCATAGAATCGAGGGAATCGGCATACGCGTACTCGAACAAAAGAAAATTATCGATGACTTTTCGACGACTTAACATTTGAAATGATGCGATATAAGTGACTTATAGATGGGCGAGCGCGCGAGTGGCGATAAATCTTCATCGAGAAAAGCACGCGGATTCCAATATAAAGCCCGCACCGCGAACGCGTGGTTCACTTTTCATGCGAAACTTGATACAAAATAGGTTGTATCCGTCCTCGACGAGATACGTATATAACCGCGTGGCGCGCACCCCTGTCATTCCGGGTGTATAAGAAGTTGGGAGCGTGAAGAGGGATGGAGGGAAGAACGAGGGAAGAAAGACCGCTATGATTTATTATCCCCCGCAAATTCTGTTTCTCCTCCGTGCACGCCAACTGCGTTCGCGTTCATCCATCTTTTTCCCTTTCACGGCTCACCGAGCAACCCTCTTTTCGTCCCGTCCCGTTTCGCGCTCGCTTCTCTCTCTCTCGTCGGATCGTCTCTCCCTTCGCTCTCTCGCCCTCTTTGTTCCGCGCCATCTCTCAAAGTGACTGACTGCCTCCTTTATTATCCGCTTGTCAGCATTTTTACACTTTTATCCGAAGCTCTCCCGGCTCTCTATTGTTCCCGCGGCGAATTCGTACGGTCACAATACGGTCTTGAAGGACTTCAACATGCGGATCATTGTCACGGTGTCGTCGGTTCTCTTGTCATTTGACAGTGTACTGTAGCTTAGAACGGCCGAGTAACGAGGTTCATATTTGTTCTCAGGTAGCCGTTAATACGAGTATCTCGAAGAGAAATATTTTATGACTCGCTGATAAAAATATAATAAACGAATACACCCTGTTTGCAAAACATTTTCGACGAAATCACGCGGAAAATCAATTTCAACTCTCGTCCTCCAGCAGTCCTAAATCTTTCTTACTTAAATTTTAAATCCAGCTTTCAAATTTGAAAGCGGAAAATTGAGAGACCATATAAACCTAAACGTTTCGCACGGCAACTTATTGTTAATGAAGTGACAGCACTCCAATAAAGTATAATATAATTAGTCCCGGTTTATTTATTGTTGCTTGTCAAAGTACATCTCTCGGCGATATATCTAACAGATTTTCCGCTGTCTATCATTTTATCGAGCTTATATTTTTCTACTAAATATACTAACGTTTTTATAGTGTTTTCACTCTCTTCCATCTTCCCGGTAAATACCGTTTTCACGCCTTATTGACAAAGGCACCAAACATCATCACTTTGTCACAACAAGTCATGCGGGGGGTCTATATATCCTAGCTAGTCATATTTATTCTAAAGAAGGTATCTATGTACTTAAGGTTTGTTTCTGGACACGTGATTTTCGTGTTTGCCGTTGTGCGGAGAAATGTTTTTCGACATGAAATGTTGAAAAAATCCAGTAGACAGTTTTATCGTCAGTCAAATAAAAATGTTAAGAATACGTCAGCCTTAGGTATTGCGAGTAATATTTATCGCGCATTGCATAATCATATGAATTATGGGTCGAATATATCGCGAAAAAAAATATCTCGTTTATGTAAGAACACTTATAACTTTGTTTTAAATAATAATGGCTTTGATATACTGCAGTCCCTGATAAAGCATAGCTCCGCATATAACAATGATTCGATCGTGCAAAAAGATCTTGTCAACATAATTTATAGTGCTACTAAAATACGACCTCCGCGCATTCAATGCAGCTGTGAACGTTGTAATTATTATGAATGTACTTAATGTCGGGATTTATTCGATAAATATTGATTATAATAGCAGCACACAATATCCCATACAAACACACATAACGATAATCGGATCGAATCCGTTATCGAGAAGACTGTCGGCTCTAAATGTTCGGAGCAAGGAACGACCTGAGATGAAAGAGAACTATATTAGCCGTAAACTCATCTGTCAGTGTCAAGACGTCAAAGAATCGCCTTCGGGATATTAGTGGCGCCATAACAGCCGACAATTTACGCGGAAGCGTAAACTGCCGACTACCTTTATTTCTTTTGAAAAAAACTGAGCAACATACAAAGAGAGTTGTTACGGCATTGATATTGAATGAAACGGAAATATGTGCAATCCTATAGTGATTAATATAATTATAAAAACAGAAACGGACGCTTGCGTCTGTACAAAACCGTAATACGAATCTACTCTATATATAGAACTTGTAATCATTTCTATTAATTTTCAAAAGTGATTTATGTAACTCGACACGTAATAAATTTTGTTCCATACTGTTTCTCAAATAGTCCGTTGAAACGTAACTACGTTAAATATTTTATTACGCAAAGATATAAAGAAGAAAAATATAGATACTTTTTTTTTTAAATTAATAAACGAATTTTTTTTTACGAGTGCAGAGTAGAAAAGGTTTATTATAATTCTTGGCATCTAATATTTCTTTCATGTACTATCTAGAATGTTGCTTCTCAAACAAGCCGTCAAACGTGTCAACGATATCTACGTTAAATGGTTTATAATGTGAAAAAGATAGTGTTTTTTTTTTTTTTAGTTTGACAGATAGATGGGATGTTTTTTTTTTATTTTTCGATTATTATCAAGATAGAAAAGCTTTTTGCGACACATATGCGGCAAAATCCAAATTGCGAGTGAAAATGATTTCTCGAAGCGGAGCAAAAGTAACGTCATACATTGTGGATTTCTATATTCACGGCTTATATTATAATAGTTAATGATACCGAGAATGTTATAATGAATTCCAGTGTAAATTACGGTCGACATACCTATATGCATTTCTCAGATACTGTTTGGTTGCATTCCTGCGCGAAGTGCTCCCCAGGGTAATTATTGTTTACCGCGGGTATGCGGTCTACGAAGCGGGCGTGTGGATATCGTCATAATTCGTCGTAATTACCTTGTAACATAGTTACTTCATCGATCGCTTTATCTTGCTTAAGCTGTACTTAGCGGAATGGCCATAATCGCCTAACCGCGGAGCGTTTCAGTTTCGAACGAGGTCTAATAATCGAGCTCTTTAATGGCCGTATCGCTCGTCAAGCGGACGCGTACGATGGCGTGCGAGCCTGATCTGGCGAGCAGCGCGCGCGTAAACGCGTTACACGCGTGAGTGCGCCGTCAGATTTCGCCAAATATGTATTCTGCGCATTTCACATTCAGCGCAATATAAACACGCTCGACCTTCGGCGTATACATCGATGAATAGAGCCGCGCTATTTCGTTATTTCGTATACGTAAAATTATACGGAATTGCAGAAATTTGCCATTCACGTCCCTTAGCGAGTCAGAAGCTACCGGAACATTTTCACATAAATATATATATGTATATATTCCGATACACACACTGAAAAAAAATGTTGTTGGATTAACAAAAATTCTGTTCGAAATGGTTGAATCTACCAGAATTCCTTTTAATACAACAAATATCTTGTTTGCACCAATAAACTGATTTGTTGTACAAACAAGATGCTTGTTGCGTTAAAAGGAATTCTGGTAGATGGTAGAAAAAAAATGTTGTTGGATTAACAAAAATTCTGTTCGAAAATGGACGAAATGGTTGAATCTACCAGAATTCCTTTTAATACAACAAATATCTTGTTTGCACCAATAAACTGATTTGTTGTACAAACAAGATGCTTGTTGCGTTAAAAGGAATTCTGGTAGATTCAACCAGTAATTCCGTTTCGTCCATTTTCGAACAAACAGAATTTTTGTTAATCCAACAAAATTGTTTTTTCCAGTGCACTATAAGAATGTGTGTGCACTCGGAGAGACTGCTCAGCCAGCAAAGATCAATATCCGTCATTTCGGCAGCGATTATCGGCCATCGACGAGTTGGAGGAGGCGCGCGATCAACAACGCGACATAAAGAATGGCACGCAAACACCGAGAGATTGGTATAACCGCGAGGCGTTAAGTACCGGATGACTCAGTGCGTACCGTGGTCGGGGCCGGGGCGATAATTAAAACGCTTTTACAAAACTGTAGGCAAACAGCGCTTAAGTGGCTGTCATTCGTTACCCTGTGGGGCCGCGGCAAGTCGGTAAGTCGCTGAGCGAGCAATCAATCACCCGACCCTCTCTCCTACCCCTGGCAGCCCATTACATTTCTATTTTGAAAGCTGCTTATTAAGCGGGGCCGGCTGGAGAGACAGACAGGTTTCACGGTATAAAATATCGGGTTGCCGTGGTGGCAGGAACGACGGTTCCGTGTCGTGGCGGCTGTGGTAGCGCTAGCGCGGGGAGAAGGGTGAAAGCAGGGGAAGTGGTTGTGAAGAGAGAAAGAGTGAGAGAGAGGACTGACGGGGTGGGGAAAGAGGGGCTCGTCGGTCGGACGAAGCGGGGAGGGGGATGGACGGCTGTAAAAGCGGTGAAATATCAAAGCCGGGATGGGAGCTGTCATCGTCGGGCCAACATCATGGGTGGCGTGTTGAATTAGAATGCCTTCCCACACCCTACACAGCACCGAACCCCACCGCAATTCTCCCACCATAATGCCATCTCTCCCCCTATTCTCTGTGTAGGGGGATGGTGGTGGGGATGACAGGAGAGGACAGGTTATACACCCCGGGTCGTCGAGGATGGCGGCAAGAAGAGGGGCAAAGAGAGTGGTCGGGGAGAGGGAAAGGCGAGGAGATTGCGTTTTGCGCCGTCAGACACCAGACGGCGCGGGCGAACCGTTCCTCTCTCGCAGTGTAGACTCGTTCGCGCGAGCCGCCACTATTTTCCTGGATTTCGTGGAGTACGCGTCGTAGTTTAACGCTGCCGCTTCCGAGGCGGTCATCGATTCGTCCCGACGGAGAGACGCAGCCTTTGACCGAACACGGTCGGGCCTGTCGACGCGCGCGAACCAATTTCGCACGGTTCTGTGTGTAAATATTACCTGTTGGTTTAAGTGCAGTGAAAATTATTAGTGGGTAACCAAATGGTTGTGCTCGAGGAAGGCGGTATGCTGACTACTGGACACAATCAATATTTACCACCGGATTACCTTTCTCCGCTTCCAACTACGGTTAGTATTGTTAGTATATTCATTTTTATTTTACGCTCTATATGCTACGAATTGTTATTTCATCGACAAAAAATGTAGCGTCAAAATCTTGGAGATAATACGTCTTGGAGATAGTACGAAAAATATACAGTCAAGATTTATTATATTTTGTATAAATTTTCGACGAAACCGTGCAGAAAATCGCATTGTTAATTTCAATCGAGATGCTACATTTTTTGCAAATATCTAAAAGGTTGAAAGCCAACTATTTCTTCCTAGATCTTGTTTTTTAATCTTAATTTTTCCTCGCAGTTGGACGCGAAGAAGAGTCCGCTGGCATTATTGGCGCAGACATGCAGTCAAATCGGTGCAGATTCGCCTACGAAACCGCTGATATCGCCGTTGGAGAAGAACTCTAAGGGAATAAACATTGCTACGAACGCGAAATCGCCGCCGGCCGCGAAACTGGAGCGCAACACGCGCAGCAGTCCGACGGACGGCAAGTCGCTGGCGTTCAAACCGTACGAGACCAATGTCGTGACGAAGAAGACCTCGGACGAGGGCAGACCCGCGTCCAAGGCCAGTGTGCACAGTGTCAGTGGTCAGGATAGTGTCAGTGTTGGTGATAACACGCATCCCGACAAGAAATCGTCCGGTAATCGCACGCCATTGGGCCGAAAATCCGCGTCGCCGAGTGGCCAAGCGACGGCGACGATCACCAGCAACGCGCCGTCGGTTGACCGAAAGACCCCAGCTGATCGGGAGAAGATCGACGGTTCGCCGCGGTCAAGCAGCAGCAATAACAACAACAACAATAACAACGGTGCCAGTCCGATCATCAGATCCGGGATGGAGATTCTTTCCGGGCATACAACAAAGGACGCGAATCTGGCGGCTTACAAACCGGGAGGTCTTCCAGGATTCTCCAGCAATCCGCTGTGCTGTCCACCTGGCCTCGCCGAAAATCCCGCCTTCAGGCCACCCTTCGCGGGCGCGTCGCCCTTCACGCATCATCACGCCGCCGCGGCAGCGTTGCTCGGCTATCCGTCGGCCAGTCCGACCGGCGGCAATCCGTACTTGACCTACGCCCGAGTGAAGACTCCGGCCGGCGGCGAAGCCCTGGTGCCAGTCTGCAAGGATCCCTATTGCACCGGTTGCCAGTACAGCATGCATAGCGCCCAGATCATGATGGGCGCGGGTAGCTGTCCGAGCGGTTGCACTCAGTGCGATCACCAGAAGTACGGCCTGGCCATGGCGTTGTCGTCGTTGGGCCCGATGCCGCCTCCATCGTTGTCCTATCCGTCCACGTTGGCCAGCGGCCGACCTTACGTTTGCAATTGGATCGCCGGCGAGTCCTACTGCGGCAAGCGATTCGCCACGTCGGACGAACTTCTGCAGCATCTACGTAGCCATACGAGCGGCGGCGATCACGCGGCCTCCGCGGCAGCGTTCCTGGGCGCCAATCCTCATCCGCATCCGCTGCTGTCGCCCTCGACGACGCTCCATCGGGCCAGCGGCGGCACTTATCCCGCGCCGTCGCTGAGTCCCCTCAGCGCCAGATACCATCCTTACGGTAAACCGCCGACGGGCCCGCTTCCGGCGTCACTCGCGGCCTCGCCGTACAGCGCTTTCAACGCCTTGGGACCGTATTACTCGCCGTACGCGGTTTACGGACAACGAATCGGCGCTGCGGTACACCCTTAAGACGGATATATATTATACGTCCCGAGAGGGGGCGCGACCGGGATAGGATTTTTTCGCGGAGAGAGGAACTTTTTTCTTTTTTCTCGTTCTCCTCCTCCCTCTCCCCCTCTCTTTTTCTCTGTCTCTTTATTTCTCAGTGTACAGTTGGAAAATGTGCAAAGGACGACGTTGCCGTCTAAGAGAGACTGTTGTGTAAATAGCCATTGTGTACAATACAAATTTATTTAAAAGAATTCTATATATGTATATATACATATAAATATATGTGTACATTGAAGATTATAATTAAAGTTTATGAAACAACTTGGCAGAGTGTAACGTTGCATCGCGAGACCACTCTCTTGCGGAACTTCTATGACACACGCAGTAATACGCATCTCTATTAAAATCCGGTTACCAGGTTGGGAAAGGGGTCTATACTATGCTGCCAGCTGTGTAAGTTGATATTGTCACGATGTTGTTGGACGAACGAGGCTCTTCCCTCGCTTTCACGTGCGAGGGATACGAGGGAGAAATTTCTCATCGCGTTTCCAAACGCATTCTTGATGATGACACGTCACGTGATGATTTTTTGACAGTTTTTCTTTTTACACGTACCGCTAGGTCCTCATCTCGTTGTATATCATCTTCGCGTTTACAATTGGATTGTAAAATGCGTATTACGAACACTGTATATTTTCCGACGCTCCGCAAACGCGAGCTTCTTTCATCTTGAACGCGGATCGCGTGTATTCTATGTCCATGATATAACTGTGATATTACGCTACTTTTTCGAGAAAAAAAAAAGAATATATATCCATATGGAGAGGAAAATATTATTATTGATAAAAATAATCCAAGAATATCTTTCTTCAGAGATGAAATACAACGTTGTAATTTATTATCGTCATTTGTCAGCAGGAAAATATATATATATATAGTTATCGTTGCACGAAAATAAAATTATTTTTGATTATATGTTTTTATCTGTTTTTTTTTTCTTTACGCAAAAATTTGATAACCGCACAAGGAATATTTCATCAAGTATAGCGAACGTATCGCATTGCCTCTCTAACATCACATCGTCTTACGTATTGTCGAATAGAAATGATCTGATAAAGGAAGCACATGCCGTACGATACGCATTATTCGCATTGTAAATATCTCTTGTAAATATATCGTTGAGTTTCCATACCGCTTTAATAAAAAAAACAATGTTTGTAGAATCATCTAATTCTTTGTATATTTTACCATTTAGCCACGTCGTTCAATTACATCCGGATTCCTTCCTTGCTTCGCTTTTCAATTTATTACGTAATCAATAATTTCTTTTATATAAAACTTTGCAATATAATTTTTATAAGTAGAATTAACGTCCTACATATTTCGATTTAAAATGTGCAACTGTTTATGTATTTCGATTTAAAAAGAATTTGCTTGTTCAAGCTATACGTATCTATATTATACGTTGTATATTGTAAAGATATAAATTATTTTACAGATATATTTATTTCGATTTGTGCTTGCATCGCGTTTTTTATTGCGCTGTGTACGAGATATAAAAAAATCAGTCTGCCTGATTTCACTGACCCGTTACGATTTCTGCTCGTCAGTCATACTTGACGGATAATTTATCAAACGCACTTCACAATCTGTCATTCATTGGCAACGAGGTGTATTTCTTGTATGTTCAAATTTATTATTTGCTTATATTGAAATCTTGTAGAATAATTTACGAAATAACACGTATATTTCATATTTTTATCACAAAATGATAATTCTATTAAACAAATCGACAGAATCGAGACAAAGATAACGATTGGAGACGAATTGGCTGGATTTCACAAGCTATCAATTTCGAAAACTTTCCTTTATCTCTTATTGTTGGAGATAATCTTTATACAAAGTTCCATAGTTAAACTTTGTTGTTTCTTTTTATCATAAATTAAATAATTTTGTAACGTTCTGGTTAAATACATGATATGATTATCAATTGTATCCCATCATGCTGTCAATCATTGTCAATAGCCACGCTGATTAATCTATTTATTATTATATATCTTAACTTTACATCTTAAAAAGACAATATTTTTCAAACACACGTGTATTTTAATATCTGTTCTTTGTGCGAAATAATGTTTTGTTCACTTATCGCGTTCGTGTCTTTGAAAGAACAGCAACATGGATTTAATTTGTTTGTAATTTAACTAAAGGGTCTATTATATTTAATAAGACTTAATAAGAGAATATAAAGTAGCTCCGATTATATATACATATATATATGAACCAAGAATTTATATAGAATTTGAAAAATGAGAAATGAGAGATACGGTAAAAAATGTAATGTTTATTACAACGTCCACGTATATATAATAATCATTTTTTTCCTTTTGCTTCAAGTGCTTTTTTTCTTTTGTCATTTTCTCTTTTCTCTCTCGCGTGTACGTAATACTTTTACTCTTTCCTCTCCCTTACTTTTACGTCTTATTACGGACAACACGTTGCAAAGTAAAACTGCTATACGTACTATTACCGAGCGGTGACTCAAAGACACGAAATCTAGTGACAAAATCTCTAAATTGGCGATCCTCACTCGCTGCCTAACATCGTCAAAATGCGGAGCGGCGCGTCCGTGTGCGCACACAAACGGCGAGTCTCAATCCCTGGGGCACCCCCAGAAGAGTAAATTTATTTCTTTCATTACGGACGGAGCGGGTCGTGAGCTCTCGGATATCAGCGCTGCAAGGCGGGGCGCATAAATCTGCAGACTAGCGTGAAGGCGGGAAGGGGGTAGTACGGGCGAAGAGAGACAGAGAGGGATGCGGGGGTGGCAAACTGTAGGTTTCTAGAGCCGCCGGGGCTCTCCCGTAGGGAAGAGAGAGAGAGAGAGAATGGGGAAGGTGGGAGCGAGCCGTGGAGAAGGTCTCTGCTTCATCCCTCCGTCGTTTCGTTTCCATCGCCGGGGTGCCGCGACAGGCGGTGGCAGGCTCAGCTGGCTCAGCAAAGTGAAATATTCGGTGATTTTAACCGTCGGGATGAATGGTCCCGTCCGTATTTCGCCTTTCACGACGCCCTCCGCCGATTGGAATCCATGTTATTTCGGGACGATTATGCGTGTCGCTGAATCTCAATTAGTAAACTTGTCGGACGTAACAGCGAGTCTTTATGTAGGTATATGTCGAGACTCTTGCTCGTCTTAACTAATCGCTATATATTGAATAATGAGCGAATGAAAAATAAAATCCTCTCGTTATTTCTCGAATTATGTGCGAATTTGCGCTCTGCGTCGGTCAGTACGTGTCGTTACAACAAATTTAAATAATGCAAGCCTTTCAGGACTTATTTCAAAATGCTTTTTGATTACCTATAACTCATATTTTACTTGTTTTATCATTTTATTGATGATGTTGTTTCGTAAAACTTATGGTATAAAGCATTCGCGTGACATGGTTATACTCGACAAAGATAGATAGGTGTAATAATTTTTAAATTTATAAATAGTTGAGAAGTAGGAAGGAGTTTTAGCTCCGATATTTTATTTATTTCATAAGATCGCGCATACACATTTTTTGATTATTTCATTTTTGTATATCAGCATATTTCATATTTTTTGTGCCATATATACATAACTTGCATACTTTACTACTATGTAATATTTCACATTGAATATAAATAATTATGCAAGGAATTTATAAAAAAATATACAAATTTTTAAAAATTAAAATGATAAAACATTAATGTAAATATATTGAATATCTGTTTTTAGAATGCTCGAATTTTATAAATATTCAAACTAATAATTGAAATTAAATATATAGATTTTAGACATACTTTTTTTTTTTACTAATACACACACAAGACCGTCATCTAGCATCGATCGTATTTTCATGTCGAGCAGTCCAACACGTCAGCTAAAATATCGTATATTACAGCGAAATGTTTTGTCGTTGTGAAAGTTCAAATAACAAGCGTGAATAAAGGCAGCGAATGACGTATCGCTTGCATTTAGTAGATCTTTAATGTTCGTGTCATGTCCCATTATTTATTATGTTATAAATCAATGGAGTCTATCAATTCCGAGATTTGTGCTGACGCAATTAGAGAAAATATGTCACGTACAACCCATCTTCCGAATTAGACTTTTCTGACACATTTCATGCTTAATATCATCATATATTTTTATCGTAATTCTAATATTCTTTTATACACGTTAAGTACTTTATTTCTTACAAAGTCTTGGTCGCTTTTTGTATAATTTTAATAGTGTTTTTTACTTAACATTATTTTATCGTCTACCTATTTTGCGATAACGTCCAAGTTTGTAAAAATAGAAAAGAAGAAACGCTATATTTTGTATTCGAAATAACTGAACGGGTCGCATTTCTCGTCCTATATTAATTAAAACCTTCAAAGTCAAACGCGCCGCGTTGACGTTAACGTGATTTAACGCGAATTCGCGAGATTACATTACGAATAAACATGTCAATCAACCTGTTCAGACGTTTTGTGGAAAATCAACGGCTGGCGCGTTTGGCAGCATGTTCGGCGCGTCTTTTCTGCGATGGACATGTGTCACGATCAGAACGTCAGAGTTATGGTGCGTCTTAGCTGTCTCCTCACAAGAGGCCCTAATCATCGGGAATCAAGGGGAGAAAATTTAGAGCATTTAAATAGTAACGCACACACATTAGCAAGCATTAGATAGACTTTAATCTTTTTTTCGTCTCGTTGGCCTACGCATTTCTATTCTTAAAAATAAATTCTTAATCATTTTTTATCTTTCTTTCAAATGTTGCTAGAAATATATAAGTATGTGGCATTATTCTTTTGGAATATTTTTTTCCGATATCCGGATTAATCTACTCTATTGGTCAAGAAATAAGATCGAGAAATATAATATATCGTCACAGTCGCGACGAATAATAATAATGAGTAGACGACCTGTCGCTATTTCCGGAAATTTTGTTTTTCTTGGTTAGTAGCCATTCATATTGTCGCGTTGCAAATCGTAATGTCTGTTTTCATTACGACGAGGTAAAATGTTGGTTGTCATATTACTAACATTTATTTTTTTTACATTTGACATTGAAAAGATATTCACTCCGTCAAAACAGTATATCTTGTGTCATTTTATTTCATACTTTTGTTACCAGATTGTCATATAAGATGAAAATGATAAATGCATCTTTAATAGATATGTGTGTACATTTTAAAATGGGAATTGATAAACAGAATTGACTTTTGAAACATTTTTTTTATAGAGCCAATACTGAATTTTGTATTTACTCGCTTAACAGATCTTTTCATTAGTTATTAGTGTCAGGCTTATTGATGACAGCTTACATTGAAATATAATATTCTAGCCATTCAGTATAATATCGTATGGCAAATGTCAGATTGTCGATAATAAACCATAAATAAAAGCACCAGATGACTCACATACATTATGTACAATTTCCGCAGTAGTATTAGTTATCTTTTTTTGCCGTATAAATATTGGAATTTCCAATTAAGTCATCTCTTGTTTCCATAGTAAATGTTCGTGTCTACTATTAAAAAAAACAAGATTATTTGCATTAATTTTTATAATCGAAATTCAACGATATGGCTATAAATATATTTACAAATAACATGTTTTATATCAAGCGTTGACGTGTAGAACTGTTGTTCAATGAAAAAATATACATTTCAATGAATATAGAGGTAGCACGTTTGATTATTTTAAGAAGTCGCACACGCGGCTTATTTTCGGAACTAAGATGTATTTCTTAGCGATTATATGTTCTCTGAGATTCTAATGTTCGTCCTCTCGCTAAAGTCTTGGCGAATGATGCGTTGACTCGATCACTCGCTACCTGTGAGAAAGAGAAAGAGATTTCTTTGTCAGGGAGAGAAGACCCGGCTAGCGCGATTAGTGCGTCCCTGAGCGACGTCTATCAGGCGTGTTCTGGCCAGTCTTACGAGTCAGCGCGGACAATTTAGCACATCAATAACAGGCCGCAGATAAAAGCAGCCCATACATCGTGGTTGACGTATCGTTTGTAATAAAACACAAAGGGGGTCTAGCCGCCAGCGGCATCTGTGTACCGCGCTGTGCGCAGTCGTTCGTTCATTCTTGCTGTTATTAACAGGCCGTACATCGTGGATGTTTTCTACCTACCTACCGTCTCCCGCCGAGTCATACATCACCGTTGAATGCGCGACAGCAAAGAGCAACTATAATTCATCTATAAG